CGCGGGGGGGGGGGGGGGGGGGGGGGGGTGGCAGTGGCTGCATGCATAGGGAGGCAGTGGCCACGTGGGAGCTGGGGGAGGGTGGCTGGAGCCGCTGTCTGGGGGTGTGGGGCTCCCGGCTCTGACCCTGGGCGGGACGGGAGGGGCTACGGGAATTGCTCCCGGGATGGCTGGTTCCCAGCTGCACCCTGGCGGCTCTGGCTGTGGCCCTGCCCTGGGCACTAGGAGCTGTGAGCCCTGCTGAAGGGCAGGCGGGAGAGCCTGGCCCTGGTCTCTGTGGTGGATGCTGCACCTAGCCACTCTGCATGGGCCGACGGGGCTGAAGCCACTGCCTGGGGGTGCAGGACTCCTGGCCCAGACCCCATATGGGGTGGGAGGTGCTAGTGCTGGGTCTCTCCCTGCCTCTGTGTCTGGACACGTGCCACTCCCCCCAGCCCCTGGGCTGCATGGGGCAGGCAGGTGGTGTAGGCTGCTCCCAGGGCACTGAAGCAGGGGTTGGGGTAAGCGGGGACAACTAGAGCCCAGGGGGTTTTGGGGTGCAGTACTGCTCAGCAGCTGCAGGCAGCTGGAGTTGGATACTCCCAGGGCTGCTGCCACAGGGGCTGGGGTGAGCAGGGACAAGCTGCGCCGCTCCCTGTGCGCTCCGGGGCTCCGCTTGTTCCCACTCACCCCAGCCCGTGCTGCAGCAGTCCCGGCTGCTTGCACCATGGCACAGAGCAGTCCAGGGGCTGGGGTGAGTATAGACAAGCGGAGCCTTGTGGGGGTTGGGGCACTGTGTAGTCCAGCAGCTGCAGGCAGCTGGCATTGGCCACTTCTGGGGCCACTGCAGCAGGGGCTAGGGTGAGTGGGGACAAGCTGTGCTGCACCCCATGCCCCCTGGGGCTCTGCTTGTTACCACTCACTGTAGCCCCTGCTGCAGCAGCCCTGGGAACAGCCGACACCAGCTGTGCAGGTAACTGTAAGTCAGTGGGTGCAGGGTGTGGGGGCACAGCTCTTGCTGCTACATGCACTGCAGGAAGGCTGCAGGCTGGGGCGGGGCTGTGCTGGGTTCTTCCCAGGGGGCGCATGCCCCTGGATCTGCGCGCTGGACAAAAGCAGGATGCCACCCACCCTAAGCATTGGGAAGAGCCCAGTGCTGCTGCTGGCCCCAGCCTGCAGTGGCAGCCTCCTCTCGTCCTGCACACAGATCCGGGGGCATGTCTCCCCTGGGAATAGCCCAGTGCAGTCCCACAGCCCGCAGCCCTCTCAGGGTACATGTAGCAGCAAGAGTTTGTCCCCCCCGCAACAACTGATCATTCCCTCTGCTTTGCTCCCTGCTGCAGCCCTGGAAGCGGCCAATGGGCTGTGCCATGCTGAGCCCCTCTCCCTGCCCCTTCCTGAGTCCCAGCCTTACTCCCTCCCTCACCGCCATGGGAACGTATTATTATTTTCCCTGATTTAAACCAATTTTTTTTCTTTTCTTCCTTTTATCCTGATTTCAACCCAGTTTTTATGTTTGGAAAATAAACCTTGAAAAATTCCCAGATTTTTTTTTTTAATTAAAAACTGAAACTGTGGAACACTACAAATAATGTTAGCACCATTAAGTAACCTAACATGATTCAAAAGATAAACTCAGATTTCAAATAGGAATCCATAGTGTCAAAAACATTTTGACCTGTTTTGTTCTTCATTCTACTGTTCTATTATATAATTGTTCTATTATTTAATCACTCATGTTTTGACTATGGAAAAGTAAGAGCTGCCATTTTCTGAGGGGTGCCTTAAGTCTAAGGAGGGACATCTCAGGTCTAAAAAGGTTAAGAACAACTGCATTAGAGACCCACTGGTTAAGAAAGGCACGAGCTTTCCTGTAGGCAACAATGTATTTCAAGCTACTTAAATACAGGACTATCTAATAGAGCACATTGTGGCCTACAAAAACTTACGCTTCTCTGAACCAACGAGTCTCTAGGGTATCACCCTGCCCTACCTTCTGCCTTCTCTGTATTGCATCCCTTCATACATAGTTTAAAAAAAATCTTCAAGTGTTTCCTAAACTTGAAACCTTTCAACACATTTTGGGTAAGACTGAAGGCTGTGGTGAATAACAGGTTACTTTTGGCCAACAAAAAAAAAAAAAAAAGAAATTAAAATTAAGAATGAAAATCTAATTTGAGTCACCAATACACACAGCATTTTGTTTTTTAATTAAGTTAATATTTGAGAGTTATCCCTTGGTTCATGCGACTCTCTCGCCCCTCCCCAAGGCCCCACAAAAAGAGTAATTTAAAAGACCATTATATCCAGTATTTCTAAGTAGATAAAACATAATGCAAACAGATGTAGGGCAATACCTATCAAAGGATCGATTGTGGGAAGTGACTCTGCTGCCTTGGATTTCTCTGGTCAAATGCCATATGATAGAGAATCTGAAGAGTGCCTCCAGCCTTGTCCCCTGAGCAAGGGAGAAAAAAAAAGGAAACTAATTTTTTTATTCAAAGATAAATATAGTAATTTTAGTTAATCTGAAAGTTTCTAGAACAGCAACAATGCTCACTGCATGGATGACTGCTAATTTATTGCTTAAGAATTTTGTAAGTTGTTTTTTAGAAGTTTTACAGAAGACTGGCATAAAAATACTACTTTTTCATAGTGCATTCAGAATTTCCCACTGTTGGGCAGACTAATGGCCCTAGGCCTCTGACACTGTCTTGCTAAGGCTTCAGCAAAACCATGGCTCAGTCTTCAGCTTCTAGCAGACTTCCCTCCCTTTTCACCCCCTATTCTCTTTCATTTAATGAGGTCTAGCCAAGTTTCCCCACTTCCTCTCACTTCCTGAAAGGTGGTAAATATCAGATAAAATAATAACAGGCTTGGCCAGACTGCCAAACAGATAATAAGCATAAGTTTCAAATCTCTTGCAAATCATACTTGGAAGATAAGTCAAGTGACACATTTTCCTAGAAGATCTTCCAATCAATCATGGAACTTTACCCATAAATAAACAAATAGTTGATGCACACCCCAAAGAAGGGTAGACCTGCATGGGTATCTGTGTGATAAGCTTACTTAACTTTTCTGACAGCTAAAATGTGAGTTGGGAGAGAACTGTTCTATCCTTAGCAAAGGGAAGGGAAATAATTAAGGAGATTCTACTTCTTTTAAAACATAGCTTGCGTGCTATATTTAAGAGAGCTAGCTGCTAAATATTGACACAGCCAGATTCAGCACTATAGCAGCACATATTGGTTGATGAGTCAAATGCTCTGCTGGAATAAGACACTGGGCATTTAATCTAATGATTTTATGATATCCAGGACCATCACAGTAAATTTGAGAAGCACTGATACAACCCTTGGGACTTTAGCAGAATTTGTAATTATGGGAATAGAGAGATCCTACCCTACTTAGGTGGTGCCCAATGACTAAGCTGGGTCCCAGTGTGATTTACAAATAGACATGAAAGGATACACCAAGGGAAGGAGCAATAAAGATTCTAAATTAGGGGCCTCACAAGATGCATGGGCTGAGAACACCCCAAAGGTGAGTTGTGAGGAACTGGAGGCAGGACAGGAGGCTTTTAAAGCCAGAGGAGAGCAACATGGCAGTTATGAAAAGGTTCCAGTAAAATAGAGAACTTACTTTATTGTGATCCAGTAATGCATGGCAGATGATGTCTTCACAAATATTAGCTGATGGAGCCAAACAGTGCAGTCTGTAGAATAGCTCCACACAGGTAATGTGATGCTCTCTTGTCTCTTTGTTTAACTGATTCCAAAGCACTTGAGCTACTCTCTAGAGAAAAAGAAACTCCATTAGTTGAAAAGATCTGCATAAAATATTTAAATGATTGTAACTGAAACATTATTTCATATTATTTTTCTATCCTACATAAACTCAATTAAGCAAACAGCGAGAAACTAGTTCATAAAAGCAGGAAAACACAGCAGCATAACTTTACAAAGGCAGTGAATTCATATCTTCATTGAAGGCTGAAGAAAGCAAAACTCTGCTCCCATTTTCTAAATTTAAAATGCACACACATGATTCATGTGTTATGCAGAATACCAAAATTGTGACTAAGACAACAGGAGTGGCACACTTGAAATAATAACTTCTGACAACACTAGAGTATTTTTACCATCCTGGCACACAGAGAATACAGAAAAAAGACTGAAGACGTAGTGACACAACATAGCTGCCTTTGTCCTGCTCACTGCAGCAGAGTTTTGGGCCCTTTGTGAATTACTGAACAGAGCATCCCCCTAGTAGTTTAATAATTAAAAATTAAGTTTAGAAGATTCCTTCCCACCTTTTTTTAAAGTTATGGCTTACTTATGTTCTTCTTGATTCAGATTTCCTTCAAACTAATGTCTCTAAGTTTCCCTTTATATTACCCAGTATAAAGTTGAGTTGCCCCAGCACTGAAAAGCAGAGAGAAGCTATAAAATTAATTTACCTTACTGCTATACTTAGTAGTGATTTTTTAAATATAATAAGAAATACAACATCCTTCTGTAATATACTGTGCAGTTTTTTGCTTTATTTTTTTTTTTTGGTGAGGAGCCTACTGTTTACTATCCACAATATTTTGCCTGTAAAAAAATGTGTGTCCAACACCATATCCTAAACAGTGAATTAAGCCTTTCAATGGATATATCCTATGTATGTCTAAATTTCCCTCTGTTGGGCAAGTGTACCATTTCTAGCTTGTATCCAGGTTGTAGCCATATTGGTCTAGAGGCAAAAGGAATCAGAACTCATGGTAGAGGTGATATCTTTTACTAGACCACATAGATTTTTGCAAAAAAAAAAAAAAAAAAATTAAATTGCAAGCTTTTGGGCATAAGCACCCTACTTCAGGCATTGAAGAAAAGATTGTAAAAGTTCTCCTGGGTAGAAATGAAAGTTCATATTTCACATTGGGGCACAGAGTATGTTACTGAAATATGAACTTTCATTTCTACCCAGGAGAACTTTTACAATCTTTTCTCCTATGCCTGAAGAAGGGTGCTTGTGCCTGAAAGCTTGCAATTAAAGATTTTTTTTTAAAAATCTAGTTGGTCTATTAAAAGGTATCACCTCTACCACAGAGTTCTGATTACATTTCTATCTTATCTTCTGACTGTGGGATTCAAACAATAAAAATGTAAATAAGCAGGTAGCTAGAATCTCTTATCCTTCATCCTTCCATGTATTTTTGTGATGCAAAGATTTCTTTTGTAATGTAAAGGCTTAAAATGCAAAAGCAATAAAATGTAGCAGTCTATCACAGCTACTAAACATTGAAGACAACTGGGACAAAAGAAAAGAGAATGGAAGAGGAAAGAAGAACAGTCAATTAACATTTTTATTTCCTCTCTGGGGAGGAGTGGAGGATGGCAGCAGGCACCAGCCAACTGAATCCCTTGCTGTCTTATTATCATGGTATAAAGGCAGCTATGTCAGGGCATCAAGTTGTTAGGAAGGTGCGCTGCCTTCAACACTGTGCCCATATATAGCACGCTTGAGTCGTACAAAAATATTTCTGGAATTGTGTGTTACACTTTCTAACTAAAGCATATCTGTACAGTAAAAAACTGGTACCTGATAGAAGTCTGTTTTCTCCGAAATTAGCTTTAGAACCCCGGGAGCAATGGGAGGAACCGTAACCATCTGCAATCTCCCAAAGAAGGGGTTGTGGCGAGAGATTTTATACCGCTTCATTCTGTCTTCAATCACAAGTGCCAGTGACTGTGAATGGTTGATCACTTCTAGTAGTGTAGAGATGGACACGTTCTGCACATAGCAGTCTTTCACACAGCAGCATATCGTCATTAGGGATTTAAGCCATAATGGGAAGCTGGCATCGCCACCTCCTCAGAAGAGAGAGAGAGAGAGAGAGAGAGAGAGAGGAAAAAGGCTCTTATTTAAATATTTGATTATATCAGGCGTGCTCAACCCCTGGCCCATGGGCCAGCCCCAGCCCCTGATGCTGAGTCATCCAGCCCATGGGGCTCCCCATGGGTATGATCCTGGTGTGTGGGGCTGGGCTGAGGTGGTCTGGGGCCCCAAGGCCCCAAACCTGGTGAGTGGGGCTGATCCAGCCTGCAAACCAACCTGGCACCATTCATCTGGCCCGTGCAGCCAAAGCACCACTGGATTATGTGATCAAACACGTACAAGCAGCACAGGGTCAGAAGGGACAGAGGCAGCATGCAATATAGTTCCTTTCATAAAACTGAGTATGCTCCATCTTAAAAGCAGTTAACATTTTTATTTTGCCCTCTACTACTCTCATTGCAAGACCATTCCAAAAAGCCAATTTCGCTAATGGACAAGAACCTTCCTTTGATTTCCAGCTTAACTGTATTAATGGTTGATCTAAATCCATTTGTTTTTGTGCCAATATTGTCCTTTAGCCTAATGGTTATTTTCCCTCCCTGATGTTTACCACCCTGATGTATTTATATAGATCAAATCCTAAGTCTTCTCCACCTTCTTTGTACTAGGCTTAAAAAAAATGACAAGTCTCTTCTCACAAGACAAGATGGGCTCTCTCCTTTCCAGTCCTATGATCCTTCCCCTAAATTAGGGGCAGGCAATTATTTTGGGCAGAGGGCCACTTACTGAGTTTTGGCAAGCCATCGAAGGCCACATGACAGGCAGTTCAGGGCAGATTAATATTAATTTTCTAAATTTTTTAGGGGCCGCGCAGGTCGGATAGAATGGCCTGGTGGGCCGCATCCGCCCCCTGGGCTGCATTTTGCCCACCCCTGCCCTAAATTAATGTAACATCCTTTCGCAATATCTGTTCTAGTTTCAATCACTCATTCTTGAAAAGAAATGACCAGAAGGGTAAATAACATTCCAGATGTGGTCTCCCTTCATGCAATGACATTAATACCTTCAAATGGCTACCAGGAACAGAATTCTTGATACATCCTAAAACTGCAATTGATTTTCATGTGGCTATATTGTATTGGTGGCTCACAATCACCTTGACATCAGCTAACAGACCCCTGTTCTTCTCTGCCTCAACCCATTTCCAATGGAAGAGTTCCAGCTCAGAGCATGTTTTGTCATCAGCCCCCAAGTGCATCTCATATTATTTACTTTCATCCCATTTCTATTATTCCAGTCCTAAAGGTCATCCACTACTTTCTGTACAATATCCTGATGTCTTCCTTCATTATCAACAAATTTCATTAGCACAATTTACTGCTTGTTGTGGTTATTAATTAAAGTATGAAACAAGATCCATCCCAAGACTGATTCTTGAGAAACTCTACCAGTAACCCTCCTTCATAGTTTCATAGTTGGTAGAGTCGGAAGGGACCTGGCAGATCATCAAGTCCAACCCCCTGCCATGGGCAGGAAAGAGTACTGGGGTCAAACGACCCCAGCACGGTGTTCATCTAGCCCCTCTTAAAGACCCCGAGGGTAGGAGCCAGCACAACTTCTCTTGGAAGTTGGTTCTACATCCTAGCCGCCCTGACAGTGAAGTAGCTCCTCCTGATGTCTAGTCTGAATTTACCCTCTGCCAACTTGTGACTGTTATTTCTTGTCACTCCTGGTAGTGCTCGGGGGAACAGGGACTTCCCCACTGCCTGCTGATCCCCCTAACTAGTTTGTAGCAGGCCACTAGATCCCACCTCACCCTTCTCTTATGGAGGCTGAACAGGTTCAGGTCCCGTAGCCTCTCCTCGTTGGTCCTGCCCTGCTGCCCCTGATCACGTGAGTGGCCCTCCTCTGGACCCTCTCCATGTCGTCCACATGCCTCCTGAAGTGCGGCGCCCAGAACTGGACACAGTACTCCAGCTGCAGCCTGACCAGTGTCACATAGAGGGGGAGGATCACCTCCTTGGACCTGCTTGAGATACTTCCCTCTTCAAAACCACTTGCTGGATTTCCCCATTAAGTTAGTTTCTTAAATAACTCACAATTGCCCAACTTTTCCAGCTTTAAATTTTATCTAATAAATTTACCATGTAGCAAATGTTTTACTGAAATCCAGACAAATGAGATCAACCACTTCGACTAGGAAATCAGTTATTTTATCAGGTAAATCAGTCACAATCTACTTTTGTAAAAACCAAGTTGCATTCCTTGCAGTCTCTGTTCATTCTTAATATATCTCTTAGCTTTACTATTTCTCTCTTAGGCCTGCAGCTGCATTCTACAAGTTTTTTCCTCTTGTTTAAGATTCAGATTCCTGATAATTTGTAGCACCTTTGACTTGAAGAAGCTAGGCATTTCTTTAGTGTTCAAATCTATGTAAAAAAATCAAGCTGACTTTACTAATTAGCTCCCTAAATTTAACCAGTTTGTTTTTTTCTAAATCAATACCTTCATTACAGATCCACTTTTGTTTTTTTTCAATTAATTATAATTTATTTAAATCTGAATCAGTTCATAATTGTTTGACCCAATTTTTAAAAAATGACTAGCCCTTCTATAACATTATGTTACTTATATACTATTGATGGTATGCATTTTCTCCCCTATGTCATAAAATTAATTCTTACAACTAGGGAAAGAAGTTACATATAAACCGGTTTAAGTGATCAGAAACTGATAAACCTGTAACAGAACAGAAGTTCAGTCTGCTTAAACCAGTTTCAAAATGGCTGAAACTGGTTTAAGATAAATATGCTTGAATGTAGTATCAGACTTAACTGAGTTAGGTCAAACCAGTTTATGAAACTTTTGTACCAGTGCGGGGGGGCAGGAGGGAGCCATGGCCCCCAAGCACCAGCCTGGGGGGGTGTTGGCCGAACCGTTCAGAGTTCTTATCATGCAACATGACCAGGGCTAACCCATTCTATCTGCAAAGCCTATGGCCGCAGGGGGCCCCGCAGAGCTGGTGGTGGTTAGCCGCATTTGTTGTGTAACCCACCTGCCCACCCTGTAAGATGGAAATTCTGGCCACCACCCCTCCCACTGCATCCAATGTGCCGGGACTTACATGTCTTTCCTGGCCAAAACAGGGAACCAAACAGGGCCAGGGTGGGAGACTAAGTATTGCTACGAGAAGGATGGGGGGGGGCGGGGGGCACACAAATGCAAGCATTGGTCCCTGGGCACTGGAGACCCACAGTACATCACTGTGTCTCAGACCCCTTCCCAGCTCAAGTTAAATCAGAGTCCCCCAGCACCCCAGCATTTTGCAGCTCTGGGCTGGGCTGGACTGTGCTGTTTGCTCCAGAGAGCAGGGCTGGCCCCACCCCTCTGCTCCCTAGCTGAAGCAGTGAGGGCTGGCTCACTGCCTCCCTCCCCGGCAAACCCCTGCTGGGGTCTGGGGCCATAGAAGGGGGTTAAACTTCCCTTTCCCTGAGTACAGAGTTGCCCTGCCCTGCTTACTTAGTGCTGGCTGCAACTGTGGACTACAAATCCCAGAGGCACCTGGAAGCAGGAAGAGAAATTAATGGGCAACTTTGCAGAATCCTTCTGTTGTGAGTCTGGACTGCAAATCCTAGAGACCTTGGGGACAGCAGGAAGAGGAAGCGAACACACGGCCCATGCTGGCTATGTGCCAGAGAGCTATGTTCTAGCATCCCCCTCCCCCTCACCAGCTTCTGGCTTAGAGTTACTGCAGGCATGTGGCTGTATTTCCTGAATCAAAAATGAATGTCTGTTCATTTGCTTATTGGTTCAATCTTTGAGACTAACCTGCAAAGACTGAATCAATTCAGCCTTGGACTTTTTGACTGTCTGTACTTAGCCTACATGTTAAAATGTAGCATTAGCTTGGCTCTCACTATTTTTTTACTTTAAAAAGCACACATATATGCATAAGACTGATCATCCTAGCAGAAATTTAATGTTATCCAAAAATTATTTTTCAGCCCAAAAGAGCAGGGAGGACAGGGGAAATTGACAGGGGACAGGGATACATCACAAACCTCAACATGCCACCTGCAGCTGTCTATTCTCAGCCTCTCTGAACAGCCCTTTTAAAGAGATAGGCACACTTTCATAGATTTCATAGACATTAGGGCTGGAAGGGACCTTGAAAGATCATCGAGTCCAGCCCACATTTATACTTACAGAATGGTACTCCCACAGACACTCAAACAAAGTCCATTTTAGACATGAATGATTTGCCTGGAAAAGTATTCCAAAATTATTCTAACCAATATAATTTACTGGAGTATCATTTTCTACTGCAAGATAAGGTGTTCTCACCAAGTAAAAGTTAAAACCTGTTGGAAACTAAAAATATGCAGAAAAGTTGATTTTTTAAAAAAAGAAAAGAAAATGGACATTATTTATGTTTCTGTGCATAATTTTAATTTTCCACAGGTACCTGTGTAACCCTTCCTTACCAAAAATTCTCTTTTTGTTTCTAAGTTTCCTTAATTTTTCTGGATTAGGTCTGAGAAAAACTTCCACAGTAACTTGTACTGACACCGATGTGACATTCTGAAAGCTAAGTTGAACAACAAAGATAGAGAGTATGAAGTAACATGGAGATGAGCACATAAAAGACACTGCAATCACATAAAAACCTTCAATGTTAAACACCAGCAATTTACCCATGCAGTTCATTATTATCACCACTTTATTGACAGTGACATCAGAAACCTGTAATGAATTCAGAAAGGGAATCCACATGTCCCTTTTCCTAGTCCTACATCTATACTTTCTCTCTGAGAAACAACACTTACTCGCATGAAAACTAAAGTCCAAAATGCCCAATGGGAACAGGATTGAGCCCTAATTAGACAGATTGTCCTGGTCTTGATTGACAGACTGCGCTGTCCCTTGTTTTCTTCATAACCCTGAGGGTAGAGAGGAATAAGGGAGAATTGTCTTACTTAAGACAAGGGGATACTAAAAGCCACTCACAATTTTTCTTTGCCATGATACTTGTAACAAACTGTTAAAAAGAGAGAGAGAGAGAGAACAAAATGGATTTAAGAATTGTAAAAAACCCACAGCACCAACCTTCTCCAATAATTATGAATGCAATTTGCCTTCAAGCCTACAAAAATGTATTTCATTTGCAAACACTGGCAAGTAATAATGCATGTACGTGCTTGGTGAATTTCTAGTACATAATTCACTTAATTTGTAATTTTCACTATATGACAAGCTAGCCGAACAAAAGTCTATTCTTACCAGGAACTTGAAAGACAGAGAAATACAATTGTTCAGTTTCCTCCTCAGAAAGATAGACTGGAAATGTGGTGCAGTCCAGTAAAAGGTGACAAGCAGCAGCAAAAGCTTCTCTGCACTCTTCTTTAATGTCTCTCAAGTCAAGCATTACCTGCTCAATGTCCCATTCTTCTTCCTCTTTTACTTTCTTACTACCGAGGTCACAGTCTGAAAGGGAAAGTGGCTCCAGATTTTTCTGTTTAAATGGTGACCCTCGAACTGTGAACAAGTCTGAAAGCATTTGTTTAAACTGCGGCACAGTAATTTGCTTGGCTTCCCATGAATTCTTCTTCTTGCTGGAACTTTCAGAAACTCCATCCTTGTTTTCTTTCCCTTCTTCACCAGTCCGGGTCGCTGTTGAAATGCTTCCATTGCCAGGCACTTGTAAATGCATTCCAAAAATATATTTACTAGCAAACTTAGCAACCAGCTCTTGGATACAGTTCAAAGTTTTCTGAATGCTTCCCCCCTTTTTCCAGACGTCATCTCTCTCAACAGTCACACCTGGCATTCCTAAGTGCTGAGAGAGCTCTGGGGAGGAGGCACTTAGACCTATGCCACTGTCTTCTGATTTGAGTGGAGGGAAAGGAGTATCATCATCATCATCCTGTAGTGCGGGCTTAGTTTCTAAAGTTATGCTACCACCTTCTTTCTTTACTGGGCTCTGAAATGGAAGTATACATTTTATTAACTATGTTTTTGGGAGTTATGTTGAGCTGAGGCAGGCAGAAGGGAGAAGAAATGGAAGATCTCCCTCCCCTCCTCTACCAGCTGTTAGAGATCAAATATTTCTGAGGCAGTGGAACACGGCTATAGATAAATAGTCCTATCGCATCTAAAACCAGATTAAACTAATTTTAATCTATACACCTTACACCGTACACCTTTGGTTATGTTCAGCATCTTTGTGATCTAATATTGTGTAACAGCAGCCTAAAAATAATTTAATGTGTAATCAAGAGTGGAAAGAAGGGTCTCTACTGCACCAGTCTACCAATGTCTAACTGAGCACTTACTCTTTAAGTGTTATAGCTTCTAATGATGTACATTTCCTTGTACTCCTGCTTGTCATTTGTAAATGGTGTGGTTTGCTCATGTTGTACATTCCTAATCCTTGGCTATGTTCTTTTGCAGTTGTTTAACAATACATTGCATTAGCTGTCATATCTTATAACCACAAGGCAGTCCTTGACCACAAACAAAGAACAGGCATGAACTGATGACCTGAACATTTAGCAGTAACACGCTGCTGAATGTCTTACCAGTGAATCAAGTAGCAACTATAGAAATCCATATCTCCAATGGACAAGATGGAATAACGAAGGAACTACTAACAAATGCCAGTTTTAGACAAACCTATGCTGGCATAAACAAATCAAGTAAGGTTGGGGGAGATGACCTATAAAAGACCTAGATCACGACACAAAATATTTGGAGCCTTTGGAAGGAGCTGTGGTACAGAAGATACAACAATGCATCTATAGGTGCAGTTAAGGTGGAGTTTGAATGGGAAAAATAGTAGCAGATATTACTTTAATCATGTTAACCCTTTTAACAATTTGTGAGCTGCCATTTATATGTAAACATGCCACAGGCCTTGCAGCTATACCTACCGTGTTTCCACTTCCAGTCTCCATGTCCAAGTATGATGGGGGCATCTGTACTTTGCTAAGTACTTTAAAACAGGTCTTTAAGGCATGAGTGAGTTCTGGTAAACTTAGGGTGTCCGTGTTCTCTAGAAGAGACTGCACCATATAACTGAGCATCTGTGGTAGATACTGAGTCTGCACTTCAGAGTAAAGCTCCTAAAAGAACAGACATTATTAGACATAGATAACTGATAACAAGCTTAGCAGACAGATGGATGTTACTAATTTCTAGCTGCATAATACAAAGTCTGGTTTTTAATGACTAAAGATGTGGCCAACTGACAGTAAGCACACTGGCAGTAAAGGCACACAGATTTGTTTTAAACAGAGCTACTTTTTTTCTTCTTTCATTCTTCATATCAAATGTGGAACAACATCTTAAAATTTCAACTACTGATAACGTTGTAAAAAGGCCATTGTAACTTATCACCCCAAGCAGCAGAACCTAACAATAAAGTATTCTTCCCTCCTTAAAAATATGATAATTCTGTAAATGGAAAAAATTTTGCTCTACTTGCTCAACCAAAAAACAATGTGCATGTTACATACATGCAGACCTTTCTGAGAATAGATAACAAAACATTCTTCCAATCTCCATCTTAATAAGTTACTTTTGTTAAAAAGTATTCAGTTATCATTAGAAACTTAAGATTCTTCCTTTTATTCCTCACCTAATATCATTCAATACATCTGTTTGGGAGCTTTTGGATTTGGAGACTGAATTGCATGTCAGACACCTTCTAACAGATATTCCATAGATTTTCAAAACATACATAGGCAGAGAATATGTTATATAAAATGCTCCTGGCAAAAGAACCCCTCTCATGCCACATCTGCCTTATGCACTCAAAACATTCTAGAAGCAACTTCTATCCCCTGCTCACATGGTATTAAGTGGCCTTGAACAAAACTCTTCACACGAGTAAGGGAAAAGAGGATTTGGCTAAAAGGACTGTGTTTGTTCATATGTTTTCAGTTAAAATAGTTTTCCCATAAAAAATGTAGCCAACTGAAAACTTACCTGATGAAAGAGAAAGGAAAAGGGACTTAAATCTTTGAATGATTAACTTTTACATCAATCTTGCCTTACCAAAGGAATCACATCAAGAAGAAACACCAGTAGTGTGCAGAGTTCTGAAATCGTAGGAGGACAGCTAACATTCTCAGTAGGGTATTTCATCTGCATGGATTTATTTCTGGCATTGAAAGAAAAAATGTGTCCTTTCAAAACAGATATGATATTTTTACATTTTTCCAGAATTTATTTAAATGATAAAAACCTAATCTTCTTTGTATTGACATCAATGTGAACTATACAAACCAACAAGGGAAGAGATTTGCTTCCTTCCCCTGCTACAATTAACTTAGAAGTTTTAGGTGAAGTCTTTTTTAAAGCTTATTTATTTTTATTGCATGAAGTTCCATGCATCTTAGAATCCTTTGATTGTGGCAGTCAAACATAACATTGCAGTATCCAAATCATGATATACACCATCTTCTTCTCTTTCTTAACGTTTATATTATGTATTAAGAAATATTACAAAGTAGACTGACTTATCTCACCTGACAAAATCCTCCATTATTAGTATGCAGGTACAGAAAAAAGGGGAAAAAAAGACCCTCTTGGGGCTTCACCTTCTGAAGATGAAGTTAAGAAATTCAGGAGCATAGCAGAGTGGCAACACATCATACTGATAACTACTACCTCATTTCAAGCAATAAGTAAAATATAGTTTGAATACTTAGATATTAGATTCAGAGCTCCCTCTACACCAGCAATATGAAAGTGAGATGCCTGCAGCCCCATCTGAACTGGTGCAGTCCAAAGGGCTGGACCAGCAATCAGGCGATAGCCAGTTTTAGCCCTAGAACCACACTGAAGCTGGTTCAATGCTCTAGTGTGGTTCCAAGGGCTGGGACCAATCATCAGCTCATTGTTGGTCTCAGCCCTGGGACTGCACTGGAATATCAAAAAACCTGCATGCAGTCCAGTTGTACACATGTTTTTTTAAGGTCCCAGCATACCATGACCTTGGGATCTGGGAGAAGTTCCCTGACCCCATGTGCCAGGGATGTTTTAAAGGTCCCGGTACATGGGGACCCTAGGATCAGGGAATCTCTCCCTGATACCAATGGCCCCATGCCTGGGATGTGCCAAGTGCCTTGCTCTGCAGCTCCCTGGGAGCTGGGCCTCACTTCTCAGCCTCCATGACAGCTAGAGGGCAAGGCAAGCACTGTGCTGGGGCACAGGGAGCCTCACAGCTCCCGGCTACCTGGCACCCTGGCCCAGCTGATGAACTCCCCTCCTCTCAACACCAGGAAAACAACAGTGTGAAGCCCCATGCAGGGTTTCATCACATAGTTCTCCTGTGTCAGAAGATTGACAGCTACCAACCTAATCCTCCCATTCAGCTGACATCCTGCTGAAAGGCAGGACTAAGCTACCATATGTTCAAGTCAAGGCAAAATGAAAACCAGCCACAAAAATATTACACAAAACATATAATATTTCTGTGGTTGGTTTCTCATTTTGTCATGCCATTAATTGCCTGAATGTGTGGCCAGGTTACTATTTATTGTGCGATTAACAAGTTAACTGCATCTTAACTGTAACGTCTGCTGGGACTTAGTATAAGACCGTGATATTGCTCTTACTCCTTCAATAAAAATATAAATTTCATGCTTCTTATTTCTGAGTTGTTTTCTAGAAAAAAACATAAGTAGTTGTACCGGAAGCCCAAATAATTGATTTAAACTTTAGATGGGTAAAATTGCTTCACATTTAACAAACTGCTTTATTTTGTTAGCTTGGGATCTAACTGTGCATCTCTTCCCCTAGTGTTGGTCATGGCACACGTATGTAAAATCTGTGACTAAAGTTTTTAGGGTTTTTTTACCCTGCTGTCATAATGCTTAAGGTGTTTGTTTAAAAAAATAACAAAACAAAAAACATTACTACCTGAAGCAGTCTTCAAAACATCTGGTCATGTAATCCCATAGAAAATCTGTACTTAAGGATGTGATCAACAAATTGACTGTTTTAACAATTTCTGAGGCATTTTTATTCTCTTTGATTGAACTGTAAGACACAGAAAAAGCAAAACAAAATCAGTGAAAACTAAATGCACATATGCAATTTTGGATTAACCAGTCTGGCTACTTACAGACCTTAAAAAACCCCCAAAATGGCACTTTAAATTCAGCATGCCCCTACACCAAGCCCAGTGCATGCCCAGAAGTGGTATTGTATTCGTTTGACCTGACTTGCCCAATGTCTGGGTAGATGGGGAGCTTCAGTGGGGCCTTTTTCTCACTTTTATCAACTATTAGATAAAAATGCTAAAAAGCCCTGCTGAAGCACATGGTCTATACAGATGCTGTAGAGCCAGGTTGAACTAATATGCTGCCTCTTCCAGTAAAGTGCTGTTGGTTTTGGTTTTTTTCAAGTCTGTCGGCAGCCTCTATCACTTAAAACTTGGCTTGAAAGATTATGAAGGTCAAAAATTTTAAAGATTAGCTTTATTTTCAAGGCAAAAATATTTCATCTGATTTGGAGATCTATAAACTTCAGAGTTCTGTCATTGGACATGCAAGTAATAAATCTGATATTATTACCCAGGAATCAAGGCAATGATATAAAATACACTTGGTTAGCAGAGAAGAATTCAGTGATCCTGAAGGAGAAGTCAAAGTAGGATATTCAAAACAGACCAATCATAATCAATCTTTCTTCCTTTCTTCAAAAATACAATTTAGTAGAATGTATGCTTCAGCAAACAAATGCAACTAAGATTACCAGAGATCCGGGTTTTTTGTTCACCATGGAAAAACGTAGTAAAATGCAGATTTTCTCATTTTAAGACAAAAAACACATTTTCTTATTCTAAGGAGAAAAATGCAGAAAATGGTGGGTTTCCCCATGCAGGCTGGCAGAGTTCCAGCCTGCAGGGGACTGGGGGGAACAAGAAGAGAGGGGGCATCATGTGCATATGGCAGCCAGGCAAGATGGAGAGCAGCTCTCACAGTTCCCTGCAGGTAAGTTGTGGGCAGAGGCAGGGGAAGGAGGTGGGGATTGAAGCCCCAGTAGTGAGGAAGGGAGTTAGGCAGGGATGAGGTTTGGAGGCGCTGTCCAGCCATAGTGGTGTGTAAGGCTTGGGGACTGGGGTCAGGGCAGAAATATGTGGCTACAGGACCCAGGTGGGGAGCTGGATGGAGCTGCAAGTGGCTTGTCTGAGGTGACAGCATGGGGGCTGGCTCCCCGCTGCTGTGTACACTCTCGGGGGGGGGCAGGTTGGGCACAGAGGGCATGTGCCCCCCAGATTTATGTGCGGGGTGGGGGCTGATGAGGGCTCACTGCTGCAGGCTTGGGGCTTCCCACACTGCTGGCCACCTCTGGGGGCATCTACAGGCCAGTGGGCAGGACCCAGCATGGCAGGGCAGGGTGGGGAGGCTTGGTGCTGCCACTGAGAGCCCTGTGCCGCCATGGTAAGGTGCCTCAGCAGCAGTGGGGTGAACAAGTCCATGCCACTGCCCCTGCTGCTGCTGGATGGGCAGGGGGCACTTTGGAATGGTGGTGTAGACCACTGGGAGGCCCCTGGGGAGGGGGGGAGCAAGGCAGGGAGCCCTGAACCCAAGGTAGACAGCTTGCATCTGCCCCTACCTACAGGCTCTGCTCCAGTGGTGCTGTCCACAGGGGAGGGGGAGCCACGCTCTGCACTCTGCTCCAGCAGAACAGCTGCTGCCTCCTGTGGGAGTAGGCAGTGGACCTGGGTCCCTGGCCCTGTAGCCCTTGCAGTCGGTGGCCTCCTCTGGCAGGCCTGGGGGGCTATGGGTGGAGAGTGAGGGGCAATGGCACAGGCAGGACACCGAGATATCATGGCTGCTCAGCACCACAAAGCTGTTGGCAGGGGCATGGGAGGAAGGTGTGGGGGAGACAGCTGCAGCTGGACCCGTGTCCTGGTGAGTAAAAGGGGCAAAGAAAGCTCCAATTTTCCATGATAAAAAACCCTAAGTCAAGTGCCAAAATGTATAGGTATTTATAATTTATTTTATTATAATGATTGAGGCACTGGTAGACTTCCAGATTGCTTTAAAATTGTAAATATATCAATAAAACATTGTGTTCAACTGATAGGCATATTTTAATATTATAAAAGCCTAAGTCTGTCTGTCTGTATGTCTGTTCATGATGCTTTATTTGTGCTCTGATTGGCTGACAGAAAAAGCCAATCAGAGTGCTCCAAGTGTGGGGGAGTGCCACCATGCTGGGATATTGGCTAGTGTATATGTATATATTACAGTTTCATTTTAATTGTGGGAAAATGTGGATTTTGGGTTTTTTAAATCAGAGTTTGCAATTTTTTTTCATCAGACAATTAGCAATTTTTAAACAGAGTGAAGCAGGATCCCTGAAGATTACTGAACAGATTACATGAGTAGCTAGGCTTTATTCTTAGTAGTTTCAACTATTAACAGGTACAAGTTAAAGCATACCTTGTAAGTATGTTGCCACTTTGACTGTAGCTAAGTTTAAGGTCAGAACCCAATGCATCCTTGCAATAGGAATAAAAGGCTCTAATCACTTCAAGGAACAAATCCCCAACAACTGGTGGCCCTGCAATCAAAGGCAAAATAAATCCAGCGATTACTCCAAAATAGTTCCTGTACTAAACAGTTACAAGCTTTTAATCCACTACGGAACTTTTAAAGGCGAGTGAAAAACAGCACTGTTGTTACTCATGTAAAATACTGGAATGAGGATATTTTCTGTGATGTTATAAACTACTATCTGGGTTTCCATGGTAAGATGACAAATCTACATACAAGATTAAAATTTTACTTTATCCACTGTAGTAAATTAAAATGGGAGATTTCTGTAGGTCACAGCTGGGCCGACTATTTATTATACGTATCGCTTCAGAAGACTGCAGTATACTTTTTTTATGAATGCCTGGATTGTTTTTGTCACTTCAGCTATTTATATAAAAGCATATCAGTGACAATGTGAACATACAGCCTAGCCTGCCTGTGCAACAGGATAAGTTTGCTGACAAACCACAATAGCCCAGATTTAGTAAGAAAACATTTAGATGAGTTCTCAGTGCAAACGTGACAGTGACATCTGACATGTACATACACTGGAAAAGCTGATAGCTAAGGAACAGGAAACTCATGTGCCTGACTGTATTAGGATCACTTTTATGAACGGAGAAAAAAAGTTTAAGCAAGGAAAAAACAAAAAGGATTATACGTATTGTAAGGGAGATAACAATACTGCTGAAGATCAGGCCTAACCCAGTTCAGCTCTTCTTTAACTTGGTTTCAGCTGTAAGTTAATTTTTTGGTTTGTGACTAAGAGACCCTTAAAAAAAGAATGATTTATTTAGGATAAAACAATTTTTGTTAAAAACAGAACTATTTTCATTTTGGTGTTTTTAACCCTTTTTGATTAAAAATATACAAGAGATTTTGAAATGAAAAAAGTTAAAATTAACCATCTCTAGTTTTCCAAAATTGCCTCTGTTTTTTCAAGCAGAGGTTATTCATTAAATTCATCAACAGCTTTGTCTGTTCAGAAATTGAATTTGGGCTAATAACTATTTTAAAAAATCACTTCGCTCCACTTCCATGTGCTCAGCTCTTGTTCTCAGTGGTAAGACCAGGATCTAAGATCGAGCCAAGAGCCTCAAGAGGTCATATGCTGTGTGTTTCATTAATTATCTATTTTTTAATTCATAATATATTTGTTTTGAAGTTAAAATGACCTCTGATTCACATTACCTTAAGGCTCAAGAGTTTGTATGGTGTACTTTTTGGATATTACCATGAAATAAGAATAATCTTTATTCTGTTGTTCAGATGAACACTGGTTCTTACCAAAATAAAAATTATGTCTTTAAGGTTGCTGCCATAATACAGCCAGCAACTCTTTTCTAAGTGAAGACATTAAAACATTTGATAACTCCAATGGCCTTGTATAACAATTTCTCCCATCAGTAGCTTTTTAATTTGTAAAAATAAATTAACAGTTACAAGAGACTGTACTTGCACCTGCCTTATCATTTTAAATAGGGGTGCTCAAACTTTTGGTCCAGAGGTCTGGATGAGTGGTATAGGGCTGGTTTGAGGGCTGGATGGAGCCCCATACTACACACTGTAGTGTGCCTGGCCATGTTATCCATCCCATGGAGTTTCCCACAGGTCTGGAAATTTAGCAGCAGGCAAGTGGCAATTAGCGGCCACTGCTCCTCGGCTGCAAAATTTTCCAACTGTGGAGAGCCCAGCTGGCTGGAAGACATGACTCTGCAGGTCAAATCTGGCCCGTGGTTTGGGGGTTGACAACTCCTGATTTACAGCATTTAATTAACAAGAGGCATTTCTCTTAAGAAAAAAAACAAACACTCTTTTACAGCCTGTTTCAAAATAAATTGTCATTATTGAATAGGTGTCTTATTTTGTCTAATCAAGCAGCTGAGGAAGTATTATTCCCACTCCTTTAGAGACAAACACTAAGTGCCTTGAAAATCTGCATAACAATTCTTTTCACTTGGTAAATAACAGGCACTTACATCCTGGTTTTTCATAAGGATGTATTGAAGGATTTGTAAAAAAAGCAGGGAAAATGAATTTAGAGAAGCAAACAGAGAAGTCTCCCATTTCTCCCAGTAGAAAAGTATTTCCCAGTGAAGGAAATATGAGGATTTTACCAGAAACTGTCACTGAAATATTTACTTAATATATGAATTTACAGCCCCCCCTCCAGACCCCTTCCAGCCTGGCAGATGATTAGCTGAGAGGCAAAAATCATGGCAAAAATAAGAAAGAGCAGAAATGGTGCTGCTTGCTGCAGGATGCCAGTACACTTTTCGTACGCCACAGAAAAACATGGTTTCTGGGGTCTTCCATGGTAAATGGAAAGCTAAGATCCTTGGTGATTGTAACAGGGGGCCTTCTCAGGGCCGATCCACCTCTGGCCCACCCACCTGTTCCTGGACTAACCGCCTGCCTCACTCGCCTGCCAGACTGTTGTTTCATAATTGGTTCTAATTAGGCAGGAGGCTGCCCATTTTTGCCCTGATGCCAGAGGGTGCTCTCTGCGGCTCCAATCCTCCCCTGCACTGCAGCCCAAGCCTTACAAATGGCATCCAGGTGACACTACGATGCCAGCCTACAGCCAGACCAAGCTTAGCACTCTCACTGCCAGGCCTCATTCATACACACACTCATACCACCCTCTGAATATGGCCTCTAATGCTCATCTCTTTCACGCATTGACAACTTATACTGCCCTGCTCCGTCTTGGAGTGGCCCCCTTAGGCCATAGGCTTTATCTAGTGCACACCTTGGGTGACAGATGTACCGTCTTTTGGGCCTCTCCTGCAACCCTCACTGGGGTAGTGGCCAGCCAGTTACCCAACCTGGGTCAAACTTGCCCTGGCCCCTCCCAACTCTACAGTGATGACCAGAATGTTGAACAGGAAACAGTAAGAATAATAGTTTGCCAACCTCTAGAAGAGGTATACAGCCTGTTAAAGGGGCTGTGGACTGAAGAATACAAAGGCCAAAGAAAAGATCTAACCATAAACAGAACTGAAATATTTTGGGTTGCAGATCAAGCAAAATATAGAGGCTGGAGCAGATGGCTGCTTCCCCATACAGGGCTTCAGGGCTGTAATCTGAGGAAGACAAGTGGCTGCCCCATACAGATAGGGAAGAGAAAGTCCATGACAGGTCAAGCCCTCATTGCAGCATAAGTCCCACACAATGCATGTCAGTAGTGGCAGCTGTTACCTATTTCAGGTTTATCAAGGAGACTGAGCAGAATCCGGAAAGGTTTGAGATATGCTTGATACCGTTCTTCTAAGTCAGACTCTGAAAACTTCTGATGCAGTATTTCAGTCAAACTCTATTAAAAAGAAAAATATCAAAACATTACATCTAGGACAGGTACCATCATGTTTATAGGTTTAGGTCTTCCTCGATGCTCGTTTCTTATATTAGGTGCTGAATACAGTCAGACCTTGATTATTCAAGATGGACACAGACTGAAGTGGGTTGGATAATCAAAAGAAATTCAATTTAAGTTAATATGCATTCAGGAGTCATAACTGTTCTGTACAAAGAAGATTTTTAAATAACTCAGATGTTAACATCTTTTGACAGACCATCAGTTTTCCCCAGTAGAAGAAATATAGCATAGTGACATTCAGACAGAAGAGACAAAATAATGATCTCCTCTTCTCCACTATGTTTCAAGAGTAGAGGTCTCAAAAGACATAATAAACAGTTTGAACAATTAGAGAAACAGTTTGTTCTGAAGTTTAGCATGGATTATAATAATCGTATGTAGATTAAAACCAACCTCAACTAAAAGATCTTTGGAGTATTTCCCAAAGAAATAGATGGCATGATCTTCAGAAGCTGTGGAATCTGGAGCAAAAGTACCTCCTTTAATATCAGAGCCTAAAAGTTAAATAAACCCAACATGAGCACAGAAAATAATGACACAATTTACAGGCTACATTCATACATAATTTGCAGGAGTACTGCAAACAAATTTTATTAATTCATCATTATTAACTTGTGTTTTGTTTTAAATATAGTCTATAATCCAATCCAGGCCAAGTGACTGTATAAATGTGCATTTGTGTGAAACCCAAGGCCAAGTTAACCAAATCTTTCCCTGATTTATCAGTGTGACCAACCTGCATGGTGGTAAGAAACAGGAAAAGCCCCTTCAAACCCTACCTGAAGTATGTTTTGGATTGGGTGAACAAGGAGAGGTCTTTGAAGTTATTGTTTTTCTTGACCACCCTCCCACTACACTAAATATTCTGCCCCCCCCCCCCCGCATCCAGGCCCACTCCTCCTTCCCTCCTGCTGCTTGGGGTCTCAGCCCACTCCCCCCTCCCTGCCGCAGGGGGAGAACCAGACCCAAGGGTGGGGAGAAGCCAGGCCACCATGGCGCCGGGGGCGGGGGGGTGAGCAGTGGGCCTGGGGCAACCTGGCAGCGGTGTGGGGTCAGGAGGAGCAGGCTTGGGGCTGATTTGGGGGAGCGGAAGTGGGGGAGGAGTGGGCCCAGGCCCAACAGGAGGAGGTGGCTTGCTCCTCCCCTCCCCCCACAGCTGCTGTGTTGGGCGGAGCTAGGCTGGGCCCACTGGCCACCCCCCCGCCCCCCACTGCCATGGTGGCCTAGCTTTTCCCCTGGCTCAGGCTTGCTCCCTGCAGCCCCAGTGTCAGGCCCAGGCCCAGGCCTCCCGTGGCCCCACCGTAACCACTGACGCCACGGCATGCCCACTCCCCCCCACGTCAGGCCTACTCAGGGACAGAAGAAGCGGACTCAGGACTAACAGGGGGAGGAGGACCACTCCTTCCCACCCCCAGCTGCTCCCATGGCCGCATTGGGCTGGGCCCGCTGCTCCCCTCCCCTCCCCTCCCCTCCTGGCATGGTGGGCTGGCTTATCCCCGACTTGGGCCCACTCCCACCCCCCCTCGGCATTGGGCCCAGGCCTACTCCCCACTGCTCCGTCCCCTGTGTCCCTACCATCATGGCAGGGGGCTGCCTTCTGTCAGAACATTTCTTCATGCTCTGATTGACTTTGTCAGAGCACAAATAAAGTGTTACGGACAGACAGATTTAGGCTTTTATAATATTAGAATTACTACGACTCTTCAAGCTCCCGATAGTTTTGGGACTGCTCCAAATTATCTGCAGGACGTGGCACTGCAATACCAATAGATAACCAGCAACCCTAAAACTAAGTAGTCTTCCAAATGAAGATATCCACTGAGATAGTAACTATCAATATAGCTTGTTCAACAGGCTATTTTATGTTGTGTAACCTGAATATTAGGGCTGTGCAAAGCTTGGGGTCTGGGGTCTCCACTGATTTGATTTGGCAGGGATTTGGCAGCCGAATCCCTGAATCGAATCGGAGCCCTCTAAATTGATTTGGACAGATTTGACGATTCAGTCATAGACACAGCTGTAAATGTTTTTTCTACATACCTCAAGGTACCAGGCGGGTCATGATCGCTGAGATGCTGGGGCAGAAGGACCATCCCATGGCAGTGAGGTGGGGGGGGAGGGCCAGCATGCTCAGAGGCAGACCTGGAAGTGGACCAGAAGCATTTCCAGTCCGCTTCCAGGTCCACCACAGAGTATGCGGGGGACCCCCCCCCCCCCCACCTCTG